CAGTCAATGCAAACAAAACTGGCTGTCTTTGTCTCCCCATACTGTTATAGTTTACTTTAATATAGAAGACAAAGTGTGGAGATTATTTTGTTCTTCTAAGGTAATAGACAAATAGAAGTGGGAACAGAAAAAAGCGACAGGAAGGCAGATGGAGATAGACACATAGAAGGAAAGACAATTAACTATGAATCAATTGTCGATAAATATAGGGTTTTATCATTTTTAAACTGAGTAGTTGTAAGTGATAATAGATGTAAAGAGGGAATATGTCTTGAATACAATCAGAGTATTTTTCTTCTTTCTTCTAATAATCATCCAGTAGGAATAACGTTGTTTTGCTGAAAATGCCAGAGATTGACAGAAACTCTGATTTCATTGAGCCAATTGTAAATGCATTAAATTGTTAATGAAATTTTCCCTGAATAAGATTTTTAAAACAGTTGCATAACTATTCTAAATGATTACTAAGAGGTGGTTTACAACTTTCTTAGGCAATTTGTTCAAAAAATGGTTGAGAATTTCGAATGAACCTTAGGCACACGGGACAGTCTACCAGCCTGTTCTAAGCCCGAAAAAAGAGGAAAGGTTGGGTGTAGGGCAAGCGGCCCTAGCGTAAAAATTAGCATGATGATGTAGAATATCCGCACAATGTTCTAAGCTAACAGGACTGTTTAGATCGCACAAGAAATTAGAAGATAAGGTATAGTAGTGCTAGGAGTCTGTGAGAGCATGTGGAGTGGAAGCGGACTCTTAAAATTGTTAACTACAGAGTCAGTAGTCTACTACAGTCAACCAGACGACTATCACGAACATACTGATGGAGTGGTTATGATGTCACCAACGGCACCATAGGCTCTTATGTAGTGTGAACAAATCTCTTCCAGGATAATGATGGCAAAAGCCAACTCAAAAGTTACAATTATTCACTGCTATGCTGCTACCAAAAACGCAGACCAAGAGAAGAAGCAGGATCTTTGCAGACAACTGAGAACAACAACGGACAAGGCCCCGTACAGATGGTGACATAGAAATCCTAATGGGTGATGTGAATGTAAGCCCAAATGGAAGTAGACAACAAAGGAAGGGAACTCATCACCAGTCAAGAAGATGCCGGAGAAATGAATGAGAACAGAGAACTGTTTGCAGACTTCTGTGCCTTCAGTCATTTAGTGATTGAAGACAGCGGGCACAAGCACAAAGATATACACAAGGTACAGAAAAGATTTAATTATTTATTAGACTTGTTTAAGCCTATAAGGTGAATGCTAATCTTTGAAGTTGGTAGCCTTTAAGTTATCAATTATATTATCTACCAGCGTAGGCGAACTAGGCAAATAAATTATATGATCCTTCACGTACAATCGGATATCTGAAAAATGCCTTGCACGTAGATTTCTTGTTTATTGGTATTCGTCAGCAGGGCATATCCTTAACCTCGAAAAAAACTGATGCTGCCACTGAACCCCAACAGCTCAGTGATAACGTCTTTAAATGCAGCACCGGGTGACGCAGGTACGAATATGCAAAAGGGCCATCAGCAGCTTCTAAAGTTAGTCATCTCCTTGTGAACTGAATGCAGGTTAAAGGAGTTGTCCTCAAAATAACACAAATAAAAGTGAAAATCTTCAAACTCTGAAATGGTTTTACAAATTTTCCCTGTCCTTACTACAATAAACTATTCATCAATTTTTTCAAGTTATTGTCTTTATATAACCCAGTCATTGCAACAATCAGTTGGTCATCTACAACAACACATCAGTAGATCTGCCTAGGTTCCTAGAAATCCTTTTCACCAATATGTGCAGCATCTTGTCAACGTCAGTACTAGGTATCACTGAGGTGTTTCGGACGATCTCATCTGCTGGATCTCAGTGCCTATCCTAGAAACCAGTAGCATCAGGGTGTTTTAGAGCGATATTATGTAATCTAACTTAAGAGGTCTGATAAATCTGATCATAAAACCTAATGACTCAAACGAAAGCTTAGAAATGAAACTGAGTGAAAAAGAAGTCAACATCTATAATGGAGAAGTCAACATCATCTAGATAATATAGTCCATGAAGGTACAATCCTCAGCAAACCCGTAAGTGGTAAACACGAATAAAATACTTAAAGCAGCTTTAACTTCCTAATATCCTAAGACAATAAGCATTAGATCTTTGATGAATCTTGTTATTCAAATCACTTTGAAAACTGACCTTTATATTGCAGGGCTAAATAGCAAAATTTAAAAAGTGAAATTCACTATCAATGAGGATGGGATTTATCAACTTCATTATAAATCCACTCTGTGTTAATGCATTTAAACAATGAACCGCTACAATCCAACATAAAACATGCTTTAATTTGTTTAGTACAAGAGAATAACAGTTTAACAGACTAATTACAATTAGCTCTCAAATAATTTCAAGGAATTGTTGATATAGATAGCTATTAAATTGCTTTTTAATTTCATTCAAAAAATCTACTCGGCAAAGTATTTTTAATTGCTTAAAATATACAATGGGGTTATTTTAAAATGAATTCTTCCTTAAAACAAAATTTGTGTAAAAAGAATCAAATTTCTTCTTTGTTTCTCTTTTCGCATTTCTCTATTTTATACTCGGACAAAATAAAAGGCGAACGAGGAAACAAAATTACTTTGAGGATAAAAAGAAGACAATGACAGTGTAGACAAATAAGCAAACGTTTTCTATTGTTACTATGATTATGACTGTTGTTCAGTGAAATAGAGGGAAAATTTAATTGATTTTTATCTCATTCCTTCTAATATTAATATGTTCTTGAAGTACACACGAGAATTTGACCCCTAATTTACTTTGTGTGGTGATAAACAGTGTTTTCAAGAGTTAGTCAGTTGGGATTTCAATTACTTCGAGTTTTGACCACGGATTCATGTCAGTTAGAGAACTACTGAGAACCAGAGAGTACTGGACAAGTGCTTCGTCCGCGTCTGGGGCTCTTCAACAGTACACACCTACCACTCCATCGAGGATAGGACTCAGAGCCTTCATTTTACGAGGCCAACGTCGTTGACCATCCACCTACTTGGGTCTCTAACTGACATCAATCCGTGAACGAAACTTGAGATAAAAAGTGCGTTGGTGAGTTTAGTAAATACATTTCATAAAGTAGGACTAAACCATGGACGACTTCAACTAATACAGATGCTAATGGACTACACTGATTTTACAGATATTTGAAAATCTTTGAGTAGATAGAGTATTACATCGTATCTCTTGTGATGTAAGCCCATTCACATTCCAATAAAATCATAAAGTAGGAATGAATGATCTACATAGTTCTCTTCAATGATGTTGATTCTAGTGGCGATTTGATGCATTTTTCATTCATGAATATGTCTGAAATCAACACTACTTCTATTATATTCATTTTCGATATAAATTCTGTGTACACTATAAAATGACAAATGTATATACACTGAGGATTACAATAAGTCTAAACACTGACAAAATAAAACGATTCATTGTTCTACCCACCAAAACAATTGGGTGTGGCTATACTATAAAAGGTGTAACTTGACGAATTATTATTATTTTTAGTCTCATTTCCATGAATAATCTGAATTGTTACAGTTAAATAAACACGTTTATTTCTGGCCTACTACAATAATTATAGAAATAAGAGGATATTTGTTCTCATATACCCATTGAAACAAACAATACAGTTTACATTGAGTACCCGACTCTTCTTTTGCTGCTCTAGATAATCTTTATCATCAGATCACAGTAGTTTAGATTTATTATTATGCTTATCAACTAACACCTAACGTTCAATGTCAAAACGAAATTGCATTACACTGTACGGAAGCGTAGTATTGCTTAGTCTAGTGATCGTAGACTTTATACAATTTTTATATATGTTTACTTTTCACTCGACTACTACTACTACTACTGGGTTATATGTGGTTCAGGGTACATATAAATGGACTTAAATAATGTTCAGTAATCACCTCTCACTAACTTCCAGCAATAATCACACTCACCAACTACAAAACCATCCGAACAAGGAAAAGGGAGTAAAAGACATGGTTATTGGAAGAGGCGTCGGTGGCACAGTGGTTAGGATGCTCGCCGACCATGCAGATGGTCCGGGGTTAAATCCCTGGCCGATGCACTCCCTTACCTCGCTGAGCCAGAAAAAAAGCTGGTATAGAGGAGAGGTTGGACATGAGGCTAGCAAACCCATCCTGTAAAAATAAACACTGCTACAGAAACTCCAAGCCTTCAGCTTGAAGCCCTATGTTCCACTGGGAACGTGAAGGAAAAAAAATTGGAAGAGAGTTTTTATCGTCCTACCAAACAGACAGTTTAGTAGTGAGCAACTATGAATGTGTAGCATTCATTATGACCTTGTCCAACAAGTCATCACCGATAAATTTAAAAGAATGAATTACTGATAAGGTCACAGCGATCAAAAGAATGCAAAAAATGAAATGAAATGATTAACTACAGTAAAAGTGAAACCGCCAAACGGTCATTTAAATTTCACCTGAGAAATAACTTCTTAGAGGCCACCTAAGACTAGTGAACTATATTGATTATAATCATTTAATGAAAAGTTAGTATTTTCCTAATTATCTGTCATCAGTGCCTATGATTCTATGGTAGGATTCTTGTCGACCATGCACTTCCTTCAGGGTTCGATTCCTGACCGACACACTCCTAAACCTCACCAAGTTTACCAACCGGTAGTAAGTCTGGATAAGACGGGAGGTTGAGTGTGAGGCTAGCAACTTAACCTCGTAAAAACAGAACCAACGCTACTGAAACTTAAAAGCTCAAGTTTGAAGCCCTATGCTCCACCCGAAATGCAAAGGAAATTTTTACAAATTATGGTCAAATTAATTATTATATTATGATATAATTGCTTAGCTGAAAGCAAAATTTTAAAATCCTGCACAACAATCACTTGTTATCATTATTTCAACGTCATAATATATAAAACAAAAATAGTGAACATATTTTATTGGAACTTACAATTTTACGTCGCTAAATTTGAAACAAAAGAAACGTAAACAGAAAATTAATCAGAACTGCAAGTGAAGTGGATTGAACATCAAAGTCTATAATGAACAACAGTATTTTATACCACAGTGTAAAATATACAGTAAAACAGGGTCGAACATATAAAGTATCTGATTTCACCTTTCTTTGTATTCCGTTTGCGTCTCAACTCAAACATAAGGCTTCAAGCTTGAAGCCTTGACGTTTTTTTCTCTCTGGGGTAGGGTTGCCAGTCCCTGCTTGCTACGGGGCAGATGAGGTTTACGAGTTCGTCGGCAGGAAACTGAACCTTGGGTCACGTGTTTGATTGGTGAGTATTCTACCACTGAACGACCGCCGCTGTTTTCACCTTTTAATTTATCATAATTTAATGTCGTTATACAGCAAAAACAGTATCTCTTCAGACATAATGTCATCTATGCTCCCTTCATTCTAAAATGTATTTATTATTATCATACTGGAAGGTTACAGTTGTGTGTTTTTTTGCATGAAATACGCTTATCCTTATTATGATTAATTATGTTTAGAGTGAGAGAGAAAGAGAGAGAGAACAGAGTGAGAAAAAGCATAGATTTACGGTTTATGATCTGTATGTTGAATGAGAAAACAACAACAACAACAAAGACTGAAAATATGCTTTAGTTTATACAGCTTCAAAAATATAACTAATGTTTACGAAATTTCGCATGAAGTGATTAATTTTTATAGAAGTACAGAAAAGAACAAAGTTCAGATTGATTAATGCCAAATGAAAAACATCCTATTTTGAAAGGTTACTGAAATTACCTAATCTATTGAATAAATGGTAGCAGAAATAAACATTAATTTCTCTATCTATAAAACCGTTATCATTAATTCAACAAGCTAACTTCCCCCCGTGAATTTAAATGTACTGAAGTAGTCTGTCTACGTTGGTAAATGAGCCCTAAAAAAGAACCCAAGCTGATGCCTTTAATGTGAATGTGATGTTGCCTGATAGTTAGCCTGTAAAGCTAGAATCCAAAACTTCCATTTCATCGCGTCTAGGACTCATCAACAGGATGGAAATAAATTTCACATAGAATCCGGCTCAGTATCCAGTGTGTCAAAAGTCAAAATGTTATTCACTAATTTACTGAGCTACGATATTATTTCCCCTACACGGGTTATTAATCATTATTTCTTAAACCTGTGAGGTAGTATAGAATTCATGTCTAAGACATTGAGTAAGTGTCTATTATATGAACCCATAAGCCAGTAAAGACCAATAATTGGGTTCTGGTAAAAACAAACAACGGACAATTTTTAATCAATAACAGTCGACTCTTGGTGTACAATAGGTGGCTATCATAACTTATTAGCCTAGTGTACTATATCTTGGTATTCTTTAATATTTGTTCTGAACTTTATTTGGCAATCAGTCCATTATGGTTGGTGCGAATTCCAGAATAGGTGAAGTAATCAAGAGACTCAACTCCTCCACCGCATATTCATTAACTAAGAGGTGATGCAGGCGTCATCTTTGATTCAACAAGAGCCAAATGGATGCTAAAAACACACTCAGAGTTTTGCTTGGTGTATTCAGAAGACTGTGCATTCTGTCAGCATGTTTAGTATAAACAGGTATACCATCTGCGTACACGAATTCAACGAGAATTTTTTGTGGTAAAAAGTTGAAAACGTAGACATCGAATGAGACCAGAGTCGCACTTAACAGTATAATCTATGCTGAAACTAAGAATGGTGACAGTGAAAATCCTCGAAGAAAATCACTGGTCGTTGTTACTTCAGAATAAAACTGTATATACTGTATCACATGGATACATGAATTTCTAAAGAGGACCTTTAATATTATTTCTCAGAAACAACTTTGCAGTTGGATCTTAACACCTTTCGCTTGATCGAATCAAATGTCACATTTAGGTGAAGAAATATGGCAAACGTTTAACGTTGGTTAGTATATTTGTATTCCAGAAACTATTAAAAGGTGACGATTTTTTCAATGTATCCTTGTCTAAGCATGAAATCAACCCCGGTTCCTTTTAATTTCTTGGGGTGATTAATTTTCTATAATCGGACAAGTGTTTAATTATCTCTTTTTGTAAATACAGAACTTATATTTTCAGCAAAAACTGAACAATTAAAGGCATTTATGCTCCTCGTTTTCTATACTCCTTTCAGTTATAGGTATACATGTGCACGAGCCAATGTGTGTTTCAAGATAACATAGGTGTTCTAGAAGGAATAAAAATCTCCCACTGATCCTGTTCTTCACTAATTGACAGCTGACTGGTCTATCCTTATTGAACATATGTACATAACAAGCATGAAAGAATCATCATAAAATAGGAACACACTAATCACATATCTTCTACCCACCACTCTGTCTGTTTACAGATAAACTTTAATACTTTGCTGAATATTGGATTATTCTTTAGATGTTCGTACTGTGCATCTGTTTCCAGGTGTTTAGGTTAAATTCCTAGAATAACCGCTATGAATTACCTCATTAAAGGCTGAAAACTGATTTTTATACTTCGTTGACTGATTTTGAAGAAATCTAGGCATAATAACTTCTAGATGTATGCCATGGCTGACTATCTCTATAAAAAGTGTGATAGTTATCTTCACATACAGATTACCAATAATCCGTTAAACTCATTTTTGAATATACTATTCATAGTTGGAATAAATTATCTCTTGCAAAATTATTACCTCAAGAGTACGGTGATACCAATACACACGTTCAGAGCAAGATACTTGTTTCAGAAACAATATAATACACATTGTCATATTCGACATTGACCTTCTTTTCTGAATGTATGTTTTTATTACAATTTATTAACATATTGCCGACCTGACTGTTTTATTTCAATTTGTTATTAAATAAAAGCTTTTAGTTATTAGTGAGTGATAAGCTTCATTCAACTGAAACATTTAATTAACTAATGTTTGATAAATTTACAACTACGAAGTTCTTTTCAAAAAGCTAGCAGGTTATCTCAAGTGATTCAGATACTAATTTACTACGTATTAGTTGTGGACGTGATATACGACTATTATTTAGACGTGTGTATAGTGCAGCGGTCCTGCTTTACGGAGCTGAGACGTGTCTGCTGAAAGTAGAAAGTATGAAGTGACTATCAGCTTTTGGCTATACGTGTTTGCGATTTATCTCTGATGTTGGATAGTATGATAAAGTGAGTAATACTGAGGTCAGGTGTGGAGTATTAGACATGCAGGCAAGGTTAATCGATGAGGTTGTGAAGCTACATCGATTTAGATGGCTACAATACATATCACTCATACCGACATAGGATTAGATCGGAAACCACTTTTGGAGGTCAAATTAAAACATGACACCTATTCACGAAGTGCTTAGTTGTTGGTTTGAACTACATAGGGAGGTGCGAACTACCTGTTCGAGGTCCTCGAGACGCTAATAACGAATGGCTGAAAAATGTTGATAAAATGGCTCATAATCGTACTCAGAGGCATAGTCGCACTCACTTCATTTGATCTCCCATACTGATTATACTCTCTTTAATCCCCATGTAGTTAGTCTCTCTACCGTTCATTTATATTTACTATAATATCTTCACATTTTACCTCTACTTTTGTGCGCTATATGGAGTGTAGCAACTTGAAGTGTAGTGCATTTCTGTGCAAACACGAACTTAGTTCAGTTTATAGTTTACTGATTTGAAAATCAGGTGAAGATAAAGCACGTGTTTTTATTATTCTTCAGAAATATTAAGCTTATTTTAAAATATATTGAATTCAGTAAAAGTCACTGAGGAGAAGCAGTTAAACTGAGTTAGAACTCAATATATAATAAGGCTTTATTATTAATATCTATCTATTGTTTTTTCAATTGTCAAAATGTCTCCTTTGTCGCCCAACAATATTATAATTTAGTATATATTCTTTAACATTTCTAAAACAAAAACGCTTCAAGTTGTGAATTGTATAATAAAGTTTACTGGATACTTTATATGTCAGTTTCGGTTTAGGCTATTCTATTAATTTTTCCCAGATGAATAATACAAAGAGATTTAAGTTTAATCATGGTCTATTCATGCTACACGCTAATAAATGACATTCAGTGAAGTATCTAAAAGACAATAAGTATATTTATTGAAGTTACGCAAAGGCTTACAAAATTTTAAAAGGAATTCAACTTACTCGTGCCATACGAATTTCAAGAGCTTGTTTTAAATCCTCTATGCACATCATAGCATCTAACAGGTCGGATTCAAGACGATTACGAGCCTGGAAATCAAAATAAATGAAGGATTAAATAAATAAAGTTGAGGACATGTTGATAGCAGTGGTAATCAAAAACGTTACATTAGAGAAATAAGGGATTTTTCAATTGGATAATCTCTCTCACAAACTATCCACCTGATTTGAGGAGATTGTTAAACAGAGCTGAGTATCAAAGAGTAAAGAGGTAAAAATAACAGTAGAAGAATGAATAAGGAAAAGAGAAAAAGCTTCACTAAGCACTTATACAATACTTCTGAAATATACTACTCAAGAGTTATTTTAACACTTCATGGAATTTCTACAGAATATACTTAAGCAAGTGTATAACCCATAGTATCAAAGAATTCACAGATTACTTATTATGATAATAAAAAAATAATAGCTTGAGGGAATTTTTAAGAAAATGTTAATACATTTTAATTCAAGAGATATTGTGGTTTCCATTTAAACGTAATGACACGCAAACACTTGATAGAAAGCATAACTATAACCAAACAGCAAGATAAGAAACAACTGTAGCAATATGGTAAATCGTGCAAAATTGCATCAAATGTAAACCGTTGATGTTGGCTAAAAGTAGAATTCAGAATACGCCTTCTGCTCTATTAGGCGCTTGTCAGCAGGAAGTATCTGTAGCCCAGTAAAGGGTGTTTTCAGTGGGATATATAAATAGAGACGGAACATTTCGGTTCAGAATAATCAATAAACGAGAAATTCAAAATAACAACAGTTTCTACAGATAAAAAAGGAAGTAAAAGTATATTAAACATGTTGGGAAGTTATGTGAATGCCTTTGAATGATTATGAAGGATATATTTCTCAGCAGAAATCGATATACGTCACATCGAGCAGGCTTATCCAGAATGGAATAAAGTTGGGAAATTGAGTAGAAGCATCCTTCTAATTTAATGATAATTAGAATATTACTAGAAGCGCTACTTCAAATAACACCAAATTGGAGAACATTTAAGCTTCAACATCAACTACCTGAATCATAAATATTCCCTATTGATTTAAAAAGTAAATTGTTGCTCGGGAAAATAAGAAGTATGAAGTAAGCTGTGCTCACAGAAACTATGAGCATAAGAAAACGTTATAAAAATGTACTTATTATAAATGGGGTTAGCTTTTCTGCATCCTCAGAAATGAAATTAATTAAATGCGATCCCGCGGTGTAATCTTCTAACAATAACTGACTAGTTCGCATAAATTTGTGCCTAAGACTGTTTTTTGCGGAATAATTTGGCTGCTTAAAGATGGAATATGGTACTAGATTAGGTATTGGTTCTAATAAGTATTGAGAAAAGGTACGTTAGAATAATTAAAATTGAACAGTGGAATGGATGGTATACAGAAAGATGATAACACAATGTACGCTCGATAATGAGGTGAACAAACATAATCCTTATATTACATGGACATTTCGAATATTTTCAATCTATGAAACTTAGAAGATAGTTAAAAATGGTATAACCATTAGTTTACAGCACTTGTCGTATGAATTTTAATTAGATTCTTCATTTTATGCAAGCATTCAAATGAGTGATTTTGTTGTTGTTAACAACTAGTAAGTTTTACTCAACTTCAAAGTTAGGAAAATGCATTATAAATAATGGACCATATTTCCATTAATATGTTTACCTTGTACTGTTGTATTTCATAATACAAATATAAGGAGAGACACTGCTTAGCTTGGTGGCCTCCATCGCTGAATCAACAGTGAACTCTAATAAATCACATAGCGATGAGCTGTCGATGCGTAGGGTTGGTGGAAGACTTCCGCTCCTTATGGAGCACGTGCGTAGACTATTGTCGCGCACTAGTCCGTGCAAATTTACACTCATTGTCAAATGGACATAAAAAAGAAGCGGCTATGAAGCTAAGAAGCCTCCAACTTGATGGGAACATAAACCCTCTGTTTGGAGGAATAAATAATTAAATACTTATCTGAAATCTACGGGAAGAGTATTCCCGAGGAAACATGACACAATATTCAGTCAACTGCAGAAATAACAAAAATAACCTGAAACCAAATGTTAGTAATTGCCAGTTGATCAAGACACCCTAGTCGAACAGACGCAACCGAGTTACAGCTTACGAAGAATGGTCACTTGAAGCCACGACAACCAGTGGTGTTTGCTGTAGATGCCCACTGTCCCCACTTTTGTTTAGTTTGATAATAAATGATCTCAAAGTAATGAAGGTGCATCACACCTAAAAGACTGGTTGTTGACGAAATTTCAGCGCACATTTCCCAACCTACGTCCCTCCTGGAGTACATGCGACATCGAACTATTGATAAAAGGATACGTGTACTGCGCAGCAGTTCACTCTGCTCTTCTTATGAACACGAGAAGTGACCACAGAAAGTGGAAAACCTGAATAGGCTATTTGTATTAGATGGTGTATTAAGGTGAATAATAATGAAACTGGGCATGGGGTGTTAGGTAAGCACAGAAAGTTAATCATTGGTTGATTCAGGCCATACCAAGCCATCGCATTTCTAGACAAGCAATGTTAGCTAATATGGGATTTAGTTGGAAAAGAATTATTAAGAGACTTCCAAATAGAAACATGTCATCATTTCATGAGTTAAGTGACTTTTGGTCTGAACCACATAGGGAGGTGTGAAGTCCCTGACTGTAATCCTCGGGTTGTCTAGAGACTGTTAGTGATGTGCTTCATAACTGTACTCAGTGGTGGGGTTAAATTCGCTCTCTTAGAACTACTTCTTGATATGCAATTACTCTTCCACCTCCGTTTACATTTTCGTTTGTTTTAGTCCGTGTACACATATATATAGTTTCTCAACCGTTGTGTTTTATGAAGTGTGGAAACTTGAACTGCTGTACTTATGTGCAAAGTTCTGCCTTGGAAACTCAGTCATTGTGACAGAAAGTAAATGAAACATAGAGAATCAAAATGCTTGACAATAAGAGTTACAAGACGAACGATACAAAATGACTAGCGATGCTCATATTGGATTTTTCATATATAAGAAGCGTAAACTAAATTCGTATGCCCATAATCTATACTCTAAAATCGAATAAACTTGAGACAGTAGAAAACTTTTGATAACGCTATTAGACAATTTCGTAAAATACTGCTATTATGAAAATAAATCAATCCTTACAGTTTGGATGATGTATGGTTGTATGGATTTGGATTAACAGAGTTAATCTGCTTTATCCGATACGAAAATCTTAGATAAGAGAAGTAACATACATTCGGTTTGACAAAATTATACTGGTCAAATAAGATTAATGCAGTATTGTAAAAATCTAGAAGTAACAGAATAATGTAATCCACAACAGTAAAATGCATGGAAGTAAATGTTGAACATAACTGAAAACAAAAGGCTCAAGTGGATAATTACAGATATCCTTCAAAAAGAATTTCCCAGTAAAAACTAGTCAGCTAATGTTACCGTACGTGGTTAGTGGCATGGGGTAAGTCAGTTAGTAGACTCATTACCACCTGTTTACAATGAATACTATTAAATAAAACTAAGTAGGAAGGAGAGATATAAATGAAAGAATGACGGGTTAGGAAGAAAGCTAAGGTGAATCGTTGGTGAAATTCATAGTTGTGAAAGTGTGCCACTAAATGATGCTTCTAGAACAAGTTATGGGCATACGTTTATTTCTGCATGGCACAGTTATCTGGAATAATGCATTTCCGTGTGAGGTTCGCCATTAGTTTTCCCACCTGTTTAACTGAAAACGTTCCCTAAGAAATCCCTGGAAGAAAATAACTGAGTTCTAGCTCGACACAGTGGGTTTCACTAACAGGATATATTTCTGGCGCCTGGTGGGATCTGAATAATAATCATACTTATTCTTGTAAAGGTTATGTTGCTTAGGAATTTCAGATATTTTTAGATAGAGAATTCAGATGAAAAGGCAAATGTTGTTCAATAGCAAACAAGCTTCAAAATGAATTTAAAGTTGAGAAACCATTTACTCCACAGACCACCTATTATTTCTGAAGAGTGAAACACTATTTATCTATTTCATGGGTCACAAGGAACTTTAAGTTTCTGTTCATCATATGAGAAATGACAGTGAATCACTGAATACGTTCACAAATAACTCGTAGGCTGAAAGAATTGTAGTGAAGGCCTTCTCTATCCCTGATAAACGTCAGTGTCTGTTCGAATTATAGTGCTTTACATTTGTACATAAAAGTTTGGAACCAAATAATGCTTACTGGGAGCGCATAAATAACGAAAGTTACTTGAAAATATCGGATTAAAAGTGCATAAAGTACACAGTTTTCTGCACAAATCACAGTTAATTTGTGACATAAATCCAAAAAGTTCAAATTGTAATCTGTGTGAAGACATTATCATCACAAGCCTCTGTAGTAACTACTTTAAATTACACTTAAGATTGCGAGTCAGAAGTGGTAACACAAATTAATGACCTCTTTCCGATACTAAATTTCATTGGGAATACTGGCTACTGGAATGGAATTTCTAACATGCTTTCACTCTGCAAAACATCACATATAAAAGGAGGCAACATAAAGTTGGTAATATTACATAGGGAAAACATGTACATAACGAAGAATAATTTACTAGACAGTGCATAATGTGATATAAAATTTCTGTAGCAAAGAGTAAGCACATCTACTCTTCTGAAAATGATTTTGAGCCACTTCATTAGGGATCCAAAATCATTTGTTCTTATCATTTCAAGAACTCAGCCTAACTTTCATAGCATGTAGCCTAGTCTTAACCATGCCTATCATGTTGCTCCACCCAGAAAAAGCATTCTAATGAAGAAACACATGAGCGAAATTGGAATATTTTGGGTAGATTTCTTCTGGGAAATATTTTTACAGCTAGGAATAGCAACACTACCTCTAGAACAACAGAGATTAATGCTTTTATTAGTTATGAAACATGCTAACTGTCAAATGCTAGTAATAGTATCCACAGGTGAAGATTTGATTAGTGCACTCTATTTACGACGTGACTTACATTTAGTTTTCGGGGTGTGACGTAACTCAGTGACTTGGTCACCATAATAGTCAAGCTGACGTTTACGTGAGTATGCATAGATGATTAACCATCTACTTCATATTGATAAAAATGTACATTGTTCCCATACACCACTTGGTATATTGGTTAACTTGGTCAATAATTCATCATCACTTTGTCTAAATACTCCCGAAATCACTCTTTCAAATTCTGATGTTGTAACTAATCTTAAATTAGACAGATTATTCATCAAAACGGACATACAACCGACAGCCAAAACAACTGATAGACAGTCAAATCAAAGTCGCAATAACGTTCAAAGATATTAGCGAGTAATAACAGATATCCAGGTTATACGTCAGTAAAATATGTCTCCAAGAAAAGCAGTTTATTTATCATCCATTTAAATGACTTACATATGTAAGGGCATTAGAGAGAACAAACGTTTTTCGTTCAACAATGTTGTAAAACTAGTTGGTATAAATACTTCGAAGCAACACGAAAGTGCAAACATTTTTATAACACCAAAATAAAAAACATGGTTCCGAAATCCATTTGCATGTATGCTCATCTTCGAAACGAACTGCAATGTAACTATAGATATTTTACTTTGTTTATTTATCTAAAACTATAATTTCTCACCAAGATATTCGACTGGTGAAAGCTGCTGTTCAATGCATATTCCATTACAGTAGTAAACCCGTCTCAACAACATATTTAACTAGTGAAAAATGTGCCCCTTAAGATCTAGTTACATATTTTGGTACAAAAACACTTATCTCATCGGAGATACATCTGAGATGATTCAAGAGCTAACACACAATCAGAAGATATAGAAAAACACATGGTATGTCCGGCATAATCCAGAACTGTTCATAACTTTCACATATCATAAGTATGCTTCAGTGTTAGTAAATAATATCTCACTTAGAATACAACACATCAGTTATACCATGAGTAACGCGAAATGCCAGTCCATGCTCGACTTAGGCGAGCTTTCACGTCAGTTGAGTCATTCAAGATGGATTAAAAACAGAATGAAAAATCCAGCTTGTAATTTCAAAAAACCTACAACTCCTTGAAAAACAGCATAACCAGCCGACTAGAGAAATAAAGCGATAAGTAGAAAAAATTAAGGGAATGTAGAAATGACCTACAGTATATGCTACTTTTACATATATATCGACCAATAAGTTTCTGCATGATTACAGTGCTTTTTACGGGAATGAAGATTAAAAATAAAATGTTAGGCATTTCACAAAAGCAAGCAGTGACCAATGATGTTTAGGATAACCAAAAAACTACAAGACGTATTTTACAGAATAAAACTCACCATCTCGTTATTCTTTGTCATTATCGATAAAAACCTTTCCAACCGAAGCTTCTCATTCATTAATAGCCGGTAGTTACTTAACAGCTCTTGTTTAGACATCTATAAGAATTACACACGCTAAAATAGTTATAATTACATTTTCGTAGTTTTTGGCGATTAACGACCATCTTTTATCAACAGTTTCCTCCTGAGGAGTTTCATTAAATCCATCCCCCTAATAACAAGTATTATTGAGACAAAAAACAAAAACCTTGTTTGTGTATTTAACAAAAGGGTCATCAGGATCTAGAGCAGTTGGTTCCTAAAACTATAAAATAATTGCAATATACGTACAGTTGATTTAGCTCGACGAGATTTCTTAACTGTGTGTGCTGCAACAGCTTCTTCACCCAAAGTTCTACGAGATATATCCGGACTTCTGAATCTCTCCTGACTCTGCAGGCAAAGAATGAAATAATCATGATTGTCATAATAACTAACCTGACGAAGAGGAGCAACTTGTTCACATTCCATTGGCAATTAAAATGTTCTACTCTTTAGAAACCGAATATGCACTCTGTAAGTGCTGTATGTTGAAAAAGCATGGTCATACGAAAAGAACCTGATGATTTCAGAAAGTTGCCACAAAAATGAAAGTCAAAGCACAATTAATTAGTATCAAGTAAAAACATTCAATGTTCAACATACTGCACCTTTACGGTGGACAATGTAATTTTGGTTTATTGTGAGTTTATGTAATTCAGTGCCGAAAATTCGTATTTACCATCTAATATATCCGTGTATGACAACAGCAACTACTCTCTTGATACAGCTTTTACAGGTCCAGTGGGTGGTGAACTTCTGGTTTGGTTTTTTCCAATGCAGTAATTAAAGATGCTGTAGAATGAATCCTTTCTCGTATCAGTCATTTGATTTGGATTCGTCTCATGTACCGCTTGAATCCTGATGAGTGTACACCTCTCTCTTCCACTTCGGTAAGCGTGTGGCAGCCTAAAAACATATCAAATTATATGTTCACGAAAAGAAGAAGGAATCCAACCTTAAACCTTGAACCGCGCACAAGGAAGGAATCGTTCGCCCTCTCTCCGGCTGCTCTCCCAGCACATCTGCTGACCAACGCTGTTTCGCACTGGTTGACACATCCCCGTCAAGAACTTTGCTCCTATCTGCTTTACTCTACGTGGAGACTTCCGACGGTTGACAGCGCTAAGTTGTAGTGGAGAATTTGTATAATCAAGAGAAGGACAATTACATTCCTATAATTTCGTACGTCTATAATTTGTGTATTTTGTGACTGTTATAGTTTTCTTCAAATAACCTCAGTCCTTTTTGTGTATATTAACCTAAGTGAACTGAATATTTTATATATACGTATTTGTTAGTACTTGTTCTGTCCTTTTAATTGCGTTTATATACTTACCTAGCTACTAGGTCCACTACAAGCGTTCTAAGAAGTTGACAACTAGTGAAACAAGTGTAATTCCCGCAAAAAGAAGCACATTACGCAGTCTCGAAATTAATAGTAGGGATATAACTGCCCCAACGTAGTGTTGTAATTTCTATTGCTGTACAATGTGCATTACTTTTCCAAAACTAAAATCTAACAAGGAATATGGGTCATTCACTAAAGTTTTGCAATGACTCAAACGGACAACAAAAAGGCAAAGTCTAGAAACCTTTATGTGAACCTTATACAACATTTATGCTTTAAACCATCCTTCTCGTATTTTAAGTACTTCATTTTGGATATAGTTATGGAGAATAAGTGCCAGATAACGTCTAATTCTAAACTCCTCATCCAAATTTTCTCTATGGAGAATACAGCACTCACGAAAATCATTAAGAAAGATCATTAAGCTAAAAGGTCAGTGATATACAAAATGCCATCCACAGAAAGTATCCCGTCACCACTCTACCACATCTAGCTTCCAGAAGTATAGAAGAGGAAGCAAGTCAGTGCTCCCCCCACTTGAACCCAGTGATCATATCACTTCTAAAGCAATAGTTCAAATTTCAAAGCGCATGAGGCACAGAGAGAATAAAAGGTGGAAACCTTACTTGGGGACAAGTGCAAATCCGTGAATTTGTAGTCTCCAAAAATCACTCAACCCTTTAGTGAAACTTTCGTAAGAAATTGGCACAATGCTGCAGCAACCTGACCATCCAATCTTTGTATTATGATTTACGTCATATGATCCCTGTTCATGGTTCTAGTGCACTCGTTCAGCATGCTGGATGAGCCCCATCGCACTAGCCTGTGATGCTGGAAGGAAGCTAAGCCACTCAGCAGAACGCCAACATACTAGGTGAGAACAGCAAAATTCCCTTCAAGGAGGTTAAGAATCGTCTTAGCATCGTTAACTAACCGAAAGAACCTTTACCCACAAACACCAGTAAAAATATGGCCAAGTAAAAACACGCAACAACATTCACTGTCCCTTGGAGTAATTTCCATGCTGATAAAGCCCTAGCAAACACCTTCAAGTTACTAGTTGGGTCACTAAACCAAAATCCTTTTACCCAGTGGTAAACCTCTACGATACTTATGAGGGGAACTGTTGCAGGCGAGGACAACCTGTTCCTGTATGCGGTGTTCCCGCTTGTATTAGTGACTTAATGGCTAATGGCTGTCTGAGTGACCAATATCAGTAGGAATTTTTCGCTTCAGACCTGGATTAGGTAACAGGCCAAACCAAGTAGGTCGTACAAGACGAGGTCAAACCAGCAGCTTTAATTACCCCTGGCATCTCAGAATAAGCTGCTGGCAATTTTGGGGAATAGCTCCTGCGTGATGTGCAACGTTGCTACTGGTTGTTTGCACAATCGGGGCTCTTTGTGATCGTGGTATCTGGCGTCTCTTGACTCCTTCCCTCACGACGTCTTTCCACACTTGAAACACCTCGGCTTATGACCTTCCAGTTTGGTGGCCCTTACACTCCGTGAAATTCTAACAGCACAGAATAAAGCTATAAGCAATATGATCAACAGCACAAAATAATGAGAGGGTGAGTCCAGAGATATATGGAACCAGTGGAGACACATAGGACCGCATGATTGCAGAGCAACAGAAAACTGGTCTAAACGACAACCAGGCGCCCCTAAAAGCGACGATCATCTGACCTGTTAATAACCACACTAAGTCAGGAAATGTGTTACCTTCTATGACCAACAGAAGAACCACATGATGAGGAAAAGCACTTAGTGTTTTCATAGCAAAGTCGATGGCCTCAGTGTTTAATGCCCAGACCAGAAGTAGTTAAGGGGGTGGATCAGAAACCGCGAAAGAACCAACCGAGAATTTTGTTGTCGTCAGAAGATGACCATTCAGAACTCAGAACATTGGTTAGGCTCCTACCAAAAAACTGAACTTCAGTTTGACTAATAATAAGGGTCAAACTTCAGTGCTGAAGATTTGTTGCTCAGTCAGCAACCAAGCAATGTAGGGAATAAAATTACACAGAGGTCTGATCGTCAAGTTCACAGTTGATTAATTTAGATACACTTTAAAATAGTTTACAGATCGACGTCAATACAGCTCACACCAACAATCCTGGTCTCACTTCTCTAAACTTCTGCTAGCTAGGTAAAATTTGACCAGTTCGTGTAGGATAGGTCACTGGACGTCACCCAATGTTGAGTTAGACTGACACTTAGCAATAAGCCAGTGAACTCAAGACACCATGCCTGTATGCCCAACCATCAGCAGTCATTCTCATAGATACATGGCGGTCACACGGCGTCAGAAAGTGCGAACCATTCGTATGTGGATGACAAAGTACCTAAATGACAGGAATAGAACCGATGGAAGAGTAGGTGCAGTTTTGATGAACGACAAGCTTCAGACAAGCATAGGTAACCCTGCAATACTGACATGACTTCCTTAGTTACTCTAGTGTAGCACAACCTTAAAGAGCTCCACGTTCCCTGCTGAAGGTGTTTACTGATCGCCGATATGCTAGGTGAAACAAACATTAAATCATCGAAGTAACTCATGTAATTTTCACCATGGATTGTGGCCACCTCACTGCTGCTGGTGATCCCATCACACCATCACTCCGCATCGCTGACAGTCATACCTAGAGAGCAGTCTTCAGCATGCTGGACTGTATGAATCCATCAAGAATAACGCACTCTGGAGCAAAGGCTGGCAAACTTTACCTCCCAGACTACGTTCAAACACACAATTGCAGCCATGGATACGCGGCGTAGACCGCACTGTTGTACTGTCTGACTTAGTAATCCAAGAAAAGCTAAACATGGTTAACTCTCCTAATAAAACTTGCTATGATTAATCCAAAGTTGAACTGATGAGAAAAGTTTGGCAGTCGGCACCTTGGCTACAAGACTATCATTCGCAAGCGGTGGGAGAGGGTGGTTGGTAGGAGCTACCACGGAGGCTACCGAAAATTCCGCCCTCATGATAACGCCGACGCGTTGAAACAAAACTTTCTGAATGAAAGGGAGCACAGAAACTTTCAGGGAAGCAGGCAGACTACAGAGCATGCACTTACCCAAAATAACCGCTGCAATATTAAAGTCAGGGGGTGGGAAAGCCTTCATTTATTTACAGTAGTATGTATTTTCATGTAAACGGATGAATTTGCATGAAGGACATGGCAATTCTACAGACACGACCAGATATGATATAGTTTCATATAATAAAGTGTTGGCAACATTATTATTTCGATAGTTTAAATACTTGATTTGTGACGAAATCTATCAGAATACGGCCTCATAAATGTTGAACCTTAAAGACATCGTCACCGTTGGGTGGGCTAACCAACCTTTAATTTGTCTTTTGCATGTGGTCCTACTCAGCCGACAAGCAACTGATTTTCAGGTAAATGCCACATGAACGTATGATTGAAAGATATTTCAGGAGGATAAAATGTTCTCGGAAACAATAAATTGGGACACAAATAATTAGGGTTAGTATATCATCAAAGTACGTTCACAGGAGATGACAATGCTTCATCTGGGAAAACCTCTAGGACTCAGTGGTATCAAAATAGTGCTTCTCAAACAAGGCGTCATGGATGTGTGTTGCATCAAGCAAACCGCTTAAGAAATAAGGATACAGACACCAGCTGCCGAAAGACTGGGAGCAGGCGATATTGCCAGTTAATTTTAAACAAGAGGCCGAGAAGACCCAAAATTCAGCAGACCAGTAGTGCTACTGCTACTAATATCAAATGTGATAGAAAGTGCGCTGTGTGATTCATGAAACATCTGGAGTGGAAGAGAAGCAGGCACACAAACATCATATAAATCTTCGCCCCCTAGTTACCATTTGATTATTCATCACATTTTTTGAAATATTTTAGTGAAGATAACAACGACCCTAACTGATTTTTATTTTTGTTTGATAAAGCTTATGTAAACACAGATACAAAAATAGTTTTATATAATGACGATTGTACAGCTAAGTGAATGAATTCGCCGAAAAAAGGACTCATTGCTGAATCATGTGGTTTCTTTTCATTAACAAATTTGGGATGGCGTCGGCTATTTTC